AAGTTGTGCAGGTGACAGGAGCCTGCAGCGCTCAGCAGGACCCGTTACCTTGAGTGCAATACAGAACTAATCTCCTCTTGCGGAGCTGTACTGTGGTATGCGGTGCAGAAGTACTGCTTGGATCAGCTTGATTGGCTGTCTATCCCATGTACACACATTCTTAGCTTCCTGGTCCTCATTGCTGCAAGTCCATTAAGAATTTTCTCAGACTCAGCTTGACAAGTAAGAAAAAAGCAGGTGTTTATGGACACCTTTGTGTCTTTCCAAAGGTGAATTTTAGAATCTGTAGTGCTTTGTCATGCAGCTTGGTAGCTTGGTACAATCAGAGTTAATTTTGTTTTGCCTCCAGTCTTGACTGCCATCCTGAAAAGGCACTGAATTAAAAGAACTTTTCAAAAACATATCCAGAGGGAACAAATACCACTGATTAACTTAATAGGTGAATGAGCATCATTGCACTGCAGAAATATACCTCTAAATTGGATTCTCGGTGCAAGAAATCGAAAGGAAGAAGCTTGACAATGACAGATATTTCTTTGTATGGTTTATTTGTAGACAGCGAAGCAGTTGGTTGAGAGGTGGATTTTTTTTGTCTTTTGTTGTTGCTTTGTTTTTATTTGTTTTCTTATCATTACTATTTTTCCCTTAAATATCTAGGGAAAGCCTGGGTATCTATTCATTTTTTATTCACTTATTTATGCTTTAGATAGTCAAGGTCTGGGAGACTCTAACTTAAAATGGAATAGATTCAGTGGTGAGTGTAGGGAAAGTGGGGAAAATGCCTGTTTTCCTTTGGTGCATTTTTGGTGCTTGAGACCCACGTATTTCCCTGCAGCATGCTGGCTAGGACTGGTTTTGTGTTAAAGTTGCTGATCCTCTTCTGTTGGCTGTTTCTTTTATACTGGGAAGCAGAGCTCATGATCCAGCTTTCTTGGGTCCACTTGAGAAGCCACCCAAGCATGCAGCTTAAGTTTGCAAGTATTAGCCTGTGCTATATGTACAGCTACATCATAGATACACTGGGATCATGCTTCTGTCAACAACAAAAAAAAGTCGTGGCAGCAGAGCCCTAACTTTGAAAATCTGCTCATTTGTTGGCTTCCTAAAGACAAAGGGATGCCTCATTTGTGTGTTTCAAAAGGATTGGAGGCAGGAGGCAAGTATGTAGGTATCACATGTGTTCTGACATCGGCATACAGGACATCAAGTAAAACAGGAAGGCTGTTAGGTTATGTGCTAAGTCAAGATCTGACTTCTGAGCTTCTGAGACTTCCTTTACTGCATCTAGCCTTTCATCTCCTGTAATATGTAAACTATATGCACTGGGGCATGTTGCAATTTCTTAATTTTCAATACTTTTTACCTTAGCTTGGATGCTACTGAATTATTTTGGAGATAGGCTGTCTTTATACCTAATATCTAATTTTTTTTTTCCCCAGATATGACTGTAAATATCTGTATAATGATCAATGATACTAAAATTTTTGTCTGGTACACTTTACTGAAGTGTTGCTGCTTGTTACTGTGATCAACAAAACCTTTATTTCATGCCTGGATGACTGGAACAACTCACATGAGAAATGCTACCATAGTTCTTATTTGTTCAAGATTTGCCCTTGACTTTTTGTTATACATCTACAGGTAGTTTTCTCTGCTTTGGAGAACTCAAATAAGTGGCTTGTAGAAATTAAACTTTTTTGTCTTTCACACTAAGCTGTTGGGATAATATACATTATATTTGTGTAAATCCAGTGAAGAATTTCTATTTCTGCCGTGTAAATTATCCTGCAGCTTACCTGAGCAAAGATGTATGTTGATAATTTCTGGTATTTCTGCACTGGTAAGCACTCTAGTTAATGTTGCAAACAGACTTTCATTATAGCCCTTTTTTTTTAATCCTCACCATCTACATTTTTGAAAAATTCTGCTGTCTCAAAACTGTCATCATTAGTCTCAGCTCAAAAGTTTTCAGGAAGGTTTCAATTAAATGCAGTCAGCTATTATGCAAGTGGGAGGAGAATACAAAATTACCATTACTTTAGTTTTGCACATAATAGTTTGAAAATAGTTATGTACGTACTTAAAATGTGGTGAAACATGATTTACACATGCAGAACTGTTCCCCGTTTTAAAGCTTGGAGTTGGACTTTCTTTTTTCCTATCATTATAATTACAATCTAAGTTAACCTAAAATCCTGTCAACTTGGTTCTCCCACATTTTAGAGGCATTGTTAGAGAATGGCAAATTGCTTGTGCTTTCTATGCATGGGTGTATTAGGCATGTTATCTGTTTATTCAACAGACTATAACTGTGATTTTAACTCTTTAGGATACTCTATCAGTGGACACATAAAAGTGCTGATGTTTGGATTTCGTTTGAAGCAATACATCATTGCTGTTAAATATATTTTTTTTTTGGTCATAAAATCAGGTCAGTTGCAAAGAAACATCTTAATCCCCTCTCCCTTCAATACTTTCAATTGAAAAATTTAGTTCCAATATTTTTTAAATGTCAATTTACTTTTAGTAGTATGCTATTAAGTTAGAAGTACTAAGACAGGAAATCATATATTTGTCTTCAGTAATTTCCTAACATGTCAGCAGTATTGGCACACAGAACATACACCTTATTATACTGGGGTATGTATGCTATGTCCTGTTACTGACACTTCCTGACTGAAAAACAGGCAAGCTGCTGGGTGTTTATTTTATTTATTTTATTTATCATTTTATTATTTTACCTTTTAATTTTAATTTAATTTAATTTTATAAAAAAAAATAAAATCTTATTGATGGCCACAGTGTAGCATTCACTGAAACATCCTCTAATGGAAATCAGGGTCTCATGTTTGTAATCACAAAATCTGGTATTTTGACATTTGTTGGAAAACTAGGAACTGAGCACTCTGTAAACTAGACAAAGTGGTCTTTGAAACCTTTGTACTAGTCCATAATATTCTAAAATTTGAGACAACTCTTTTTCAGAAAAGCATTTCATATTAAACTTTGAGTTTATTTCTGAAGTGGTATTTATTTTTCAGATTTACTCTAGTTTGGGACATTTTTCAGTTCTGACTTCTCTTGGTAGGAAAGGAAAATGGCAAGTTTTGAGCAACTCTGTAGCACTAATGTGGATAAAATGCATTCCGTAGTTTGGAGTTATTTTACCCCTAATATGACTACAAAATTCATAAGCCTTGCACTTTGCAAAGGTCAAACTAGTATTAAGCTCTTCCAATACTACATTGTGAGGAATACAGGTGAAAGATTGATATAATTTCATTTTTAATGTGATCATTGTTGATGATGATAGTGAAGTATTCCACTTCTCTGCTTTAAAAATAATGCTATTTAAATTCTTATAATTTGGGTTTTGTTTCTGGTGTTTGTTTTTGTTTGCTTGGGTATTTTTTTGCTTTTTTGGATTTTTTTTTTTTGTGCAAAAGTGTGTTTCAAGTAAAAATGAAAACCTTTCATTAATCTTGAACATTTTTTGATGTTTTTAATATATAGTGTATTCCTTTATAGCCAATACACATTTTTAAATCTGCAGTGTTTTATATAATGCCCCAAACCTGCTGCAAGAACAGCATGGTAGTCAAGTCAGTGAATCTCTGCAATGTATGACATACACCTTGTTCAGTACAGTCATGAGCTGAGAGCACCTTCAGATATAGAATGCTAAAGCTGTTTGCAGTTCAGATCTTTCCTTTTTCAGCACCTGTCTGCCCTTTTTTTGCTTTACATTATGGTCAGTCGCTATCTTCAGTGATGGCAACATTCTTCTGCTCATCTGACCATGGCCTTATGTTCAAGTTTCAGTGTCCTAGATTCAGTATCAAAACTTTCTATCAGTTGCTGTCTTTGGACCGTTAAGTGGCAGCAAGTATTACCTATCTGCCAGCAGTGCTTTTCCTCAGGACTTGCTGAAGAAGTCTGCCACGTGGCAAAAGAAATTTGTATTAACCATGTGCAGATTTACAGAGAGTCTTGAGGGAGCAGGGCTTTCCCCCTCAGTGCTGCTGCAGTCCTGGCTGAACCAAAGGCCACTGGGTTGTTGTCTGGCAAGGCAAACTTTCTCAATGTGTCCATCAGCAAGTCAAATATTTCTCGGCCTGTTACAGACAAGCACTGAGCCATGTCCAGAAAACTAATGCATAGAGTTGGTCTCCTTTTTGTTTAAAGGAGAGCTAATACTTTCTCCCTGCAGGCTTTGAGCTTCACTGTGTATAAATAATAACTACTGTTGGATACAGCGTTCACATCCCTTTATTCTTTCAGTTCATGGGTAGGAGAAACAATGCTGTTGGAAGTTTCATATGTAATTTCTGCTCTATACATCTTCTAGAATTGCCTAATGAAAATTGACTCCCCCCCAAAAAAAAAATTGTACTTCTTAATGCATTTAAAAATATGTCTTGATGATCTGGCACCTTCAAATGAGTCTGCATTTCAAGTAGACCTAAACAAATTTTTTTTCCAGGTGCAGTAGATTTCTGGAGATCAGGCAGTCCACAGCTCCACTGCCAAAATAGCTCCCACATGCTGGTACTGGAGCAGGTGTTTCTCTTGTCACTCAAGGCCACTCAGTTGACATCTGATTTCCAGATGTTCTAAAATACTACTTTATAATAGTCTATTTCATGCAGTCCTGCTCTCATGTTCTTATCTTTTATTAGGTGCTTTCAGGACACATTAGTTTCCTCTGACCGGAAAAAAAATGATGGGTTTGAAATGAGCTCATGTACCTTTTAAAAGTTATAGGATATATATGACCAAGTTTACATCAGGCTGTAACTTGGAAACTTATTTCTGTGGCTACAAATGATTATACTCATGAGGTGGGCATCTCAGCAATGCTTACCTACAAGCTCATAATTTAATCTGCGTGATTAGTATTGTTTAATTTTTCTCCAGACCCCCTGTTACTTTTCTAGCTTTCACCTGTCTTTGTCCTTTTATATGTCCCTAATTTCTTTCAATATTCTTGACATCTCCAGCAGGTTACTTTGGACTGAATGCTCCTTAACACCTGCTGCCTCCTTCCTCTTTCTCTTTTAATAGGCATTTCAACTGCTACGTATTGGGTAGAAAGGTAATTGCTTATGTATTATGTTAAAAGTCATTTTTTTTTTTTATTTTAGACAGGCAAATCTTCCAGTGAAAAGAATAGATCCTGTTCTTCTATTCTTTTCCCCTTATTGTTGTAGTTGGGGATATTTTCCTTTTTTATTTTTCTAACCACCACCACCACCCCCCCCCACCATGTGTGTATGTGGAAAACTGCAATAGCATCCATTGGTGTGGTTTAAACCCAGGCAGTAGGTCAGCATCGTGGAGGTTGGGATGGGGAGGAGAGTCAAAAGAATGTAAACCCCACAGATTGAGATAAGAACAGTTCAGTAACAAAAGTATAATATAAAACTACTACTACCAATAATAATAGTAAGGGAAATAACAAGGGGAGAGAATATAAAACTAAAAGTGGAAATGGGAAAAAAAAAGAACAAAACCAAAGCCTACAGGTGCTGCACAATACAATTGATCACCACCCACTGACTGATACCCAGCCTGACCCCAGCAGTGATCTGGGCCTTCCAGATGACTCCCGCCAGTTTCTCTACTGGACATGCCATGCTGTGGTATGGAATACCTCTTTGGCTAGTTTGGGTCAGGTGTCCTGTCTCTGCTTCCTCCTGGCTTCCCATGCCCCTCCTTCCTGGCAGGGCTAGGACTGAAAAGTCATTGATCAGTATAAGTGCTACTTAGTAGCAGCTAAAAAGTATCAGTGTGTTATCAGAGTTGTTATCAGACTAAAGCCAAAACACAGCACTGCCAGCTACCAAGGAGGAGAAAAATAACTGCTACAGCTGAACGTGGGACAATCCTACTAAATAAATGGGCAATGACCCATGAGAATAAGATGCAGAGGAAGATGGAATGGAATGTCAGCATTACTTTGCGTTGCCTTTTCTTGTTTAAGAGACACAATGTAAAGCATACAAGTTTTTGAAATGCCTTTTGTGAGTATTGCAGTAGGTGAAGAATCAAAAAGCTGAGGCATTGGTATTTTTCCATGCTAATAATAAACACTACAATTGTGTAACAGTGGGAGGGTCATACCACCCTGAAATTCTGAATATATAGTTGGTTCTCTGTGAAAGTAGAAGATTACTGAAGTTACTGAAGATTCCAGGCGTGGCAGTAAAGTTGGCCTAAGATTTAAGAAATGAAGTGTTCACAGGCACAGATAGTCTTTTATGAGGAAAATAGAATATTTTCCTTTTGTCTGCTTCTCATAACTGAGCTAATAAAAGATAGTTTGTTATTACAAAGTTTATGTTGCTGGACTTAGGCCTTTTTCCATTTTTTCTCTTTTTTTTTTCGTTTCCACCACCCTCCTTTATCGCTGGATTCAACACGTGTTATGAACCTGTTCTCTCACAGTAATGTTTTCCAGAGAGATCGAGCTATGATGGCTACCATTGATTTCTGTGAAAACTGTGTATGTCCATCATCTTTGAGAAGCAGTTTTGTCCCAGGCTGCCCACTTGGGTGTCCAGACCTGATTCTCCTCAGTTTGAGAACTATGACATTCCGTTCTACTGGAAAACTTCCCTTTTGGAGGAATCCTAACCCTGTAATATCCTCAAGCTATTAATCTACCTGGGGACAGTCAACTCCAAAGTAAACTTGATCTGGAATTAATTGTAATGATATATGTATACAAATAATTGCATGTCTTAAGTTTAGGAGTTCTCAGTTCCGGGTCCTTGAGCTTTGAGGGCAGTATGCTTTTTGAAGATGGAGTATATACAAATTGTGTATATACAACTGTGTGGTTTTTTGTTCTTCTGCTTTGAATATTATATCTGTAATCTGGGCACAATTCCTGTTCTCCACAAACCAAAGTATGAGTTTCAGCAGGCAAGTTGGCAACATGGAGATGGGCACGTTTTATTTTTATCTGACTCACCCAGCTTTATGGCAACCTTGTTACAGAGTTTTTGGAATCTCTCACGGGGCACGTTTCCATTCACAACAGTATGACTTGCATCAGGACTGGTATAGGGATCATTGCATATGTTCCCTTTTACCTGTTAATAAACCAAGTTCTTGTTTGCCTTGGGAGAAAGTAAGTCTATGAATTTCACATGTTCACTGAAAAAGGTCAGTGTGATATTTTAGCTAGAGAAGTGCAGGAGTACGATTGTAGAGAGAAAAGGAATGGGGAAAGTATGTGTCGTGGTTTAAACCCAGTCAGGTAGCTTGTTCACTCACTCCCAGTGAGTGGTGCCGAGCTGACAACAATCGAGGTCCGTGTCCGTCTCCCCCCCTGCCTCCCCGCACCGGGGCTCTCCCCTTCCCCGCTCCTGGAGGAACGGGGAGGAGGATCGAGAGAGTGCAACTCCTACGGGTTGAGACAAAAACAGTCCAGCAACAAATCACCAAATCCGCTACTGCGGAACCCAGGACAGTATGAGAAATAATCCGCTTCATAATAGCGCTCTGGTTTGAGCAACATGTTTGACTGGTATCCTTGTACTAAATAAACAATTTGTCTCTTCAGAATGTCTGCGGAGAAGTAACATAGCTGATTTATTTTGTGAAGCTACTGTGGTTGCTTTACCTTGTTGTCAGAATCCACATGGACATGCAATACTAGGTCACGAATCCAGAGTGTTTTCTGATGGGCCTTGAAGGAAAATAAAACAAACAGAAAAACCCAACCGTGTTTGGTTTGCGCCCTTGGAAGGTCTGAGCTCTGTGGGATGTAATTTTAAAATATTTCCTATGTTTTCTTTTACTTAGTCTCAATACGTCAGGCTCAGCTAAACGAAGAACTAAATTAAAACTATCATTTCAGCTCATAAATAACAGATGTCTCACCCGTTTAATTATTTATAGTCTTGAATCTTTCAAAAATGAAAATGGCTATATACACATTTTTAATGTAGTTCTTGGTAATTTGCTGCATGAATGATAAGACTTGAGATAATCCCGGCACACAAACATGAAAAATAAAACTTTGACTGACTCGCTTATCTTATGTGGCTGCTTTTTCGATCCCCTGTGACTTTTTTTAAATTAAAATTTAAGTGAAATCTAATCACAACAAAATGATGTTCATACACTTGCATTAATAATTTATCTGCTAGAGATCACAGCGCAGGTACTATGGACATCAGAGATTTGTGTTTTGCCTGAAAATCAATGCTTTCTCTTTTTGGTAAGATTCAGCTTTTCAGGTGTGTGAACTGTGTTTGGATGGATCCTAAGTCTGAAATAACAATGCTGCAAGAAATTGAGACTGTGCCAACATTAAAAAAAGACACCACCCCCACCACTCCCAAAATGCCAAACTAAACAACACTTTCCTGTATTCGTTAGCTAATGATAAAATTATGTTGCTTGGCTTAATGACTTTAGCTATCTTCATAAAAATAAGAGTATCTAGTGATAGATGAACTTAGGGGTTAACAAAGATTCACCAGAACTGCCAGCAAACCAAGCGTGATGTGTGTGAGCTGAAAGAGTGGCTGTGAATGCTGTAATTCCTTTTTGGAGGAAAGCAATGCACCTGAAGAAAACACACCTCTTGCCTCCTAAGCATCACACTTTAAGTCCCTTTATGAGAAACAAAGGGAAATCAATGTCAGTCTATCACATGAGGAGAAGGTGTTTGGATTGTCTGGAATCTACTTATTTTAGAGCTGAAGAGGTGCAAGTATTGGTTCTTGGTTGGAAGAAGGGCTCTTTTGAGAGTGGCTAAACTGAGGGAAGCACAGACTCCAAAATGTGAAGGAATCATATGTGTGGTTAGCAAAGCATTCGCAGAACAACTATGGAGAGAAAAAGACAAAGAGTGGGAGTTAGCATCTTGGCAAGTTGCAGGCTATCAAAAGGCTTAGAACAAAGAAATGCTATTTGGTTAGTACTGTGTTCAGGAACACAAAATCTGTTTACACCCTTTAGTAAACAGGAGCAATATCCAACAGCTGCTTGGATATTTGCTCCTAGTTGAATCTTTGAAGCCCAAATCTTTAAAAATGCTTGAAGATGAAAAATGTTGCATACAGGTGGCTTTGGTAGCTAAGGCAAAATGTTAAAATAAAAACAAGGAGATCTGCTTCACTACTACCAATTTTCTGCCAAAAAAGGAATTGTTTTGCTACTGCTACTTGGGTACAGCAGCATTTATCAGCAAGGCATTTGTTAACGAACTTTGCAGACAGAAATCAACACAGATCCTTTGAATTAATGGAATTGCTGTAAACTGCCTGCTAAAGTCCAGTGTTTTCTATCAGGAGCTGCTCCTTTGAGTTGGAGCAGTTAAACTGGACCACTTAAAATGGAGAGTGTGCAGGTATTTGGCCTTGAAGGCTGACTAAAAGAAATAACTTGTACCTGCAGTGTATTAAAGGCAGGCATAACTACTTACTGTCTGTTGGTTTACTACAAAGAATAAGAAAAGCAGTCTAGCACTATCTAGCATTTTGGTGGTTGCTCAGGCTAAACACTTTCATATTTGCAAGGAAGAATTGTATGTTTGCAGTCTCTCATCATGATGCATCTACAGGAGTGTACTGAGAAGTTCTGTTTCGAAGGAAAAGGTAGACTGACTGTAATCTGGGTTTGTGGGAAGTGATGGGTAAGAAACCCAGGGTGAAGCTGAGTGCATTTAAGCACTGATGTTCCTTTTGGCAGGGGGAAGGGGCTGGATGGTTTGGGGAGAGAAGCAGAGGATGGGAGAACAGAACTGCTGTGGCTGAGAGAAAAATGGATAAGAAATGCTTCTGGTATGTTCAGTAAGGCTTTAGGCGCATAAGATGATACCCAAACTGTGGACTCCTTGAGCATCAGAAGCCACTAACTGTGTGGCAGGGAAGAAAAGTGAAAGAAGCAGCCTGTTGAGTGACTACAAAAAGTATAGCCTGAGTGCTATGAAGAAGGGAGGATCGCCAAGGACAGGAGGAAGATACTAGGTCAAGGAGTTGGGGAGAGCTGCTAGGCCTGGGTTGTTGATGTGAAAGGCACCTTATGTTTTGAATAGGAGTGACTGGAATACCCTTGTAAACTTAACTCTTCCTTGGTGCTTAATAGGCTGAACCAATATTGGTAAATAAATGTACAAAAGCACTTTTATACATGCTAGGTGACAGAGCCAGGGAAATAATGTGTTTTGCAAACACCACGCATCCAAATTTGGCTTCCAGCTTAATGTGTTTTGTAAATATTTTCTCATCATGAGACTGTATAACAAAGAAAAAGAGTATCCTGGCATCCATTTTCTCAGGTGCATGGAAATCTGAATGGCTATTGTAATTGGAGAATGACAGATCAGGATTACAAACAGATTTCTGTTCTCAGTTTACACTTTGTAAAGATTGACAAAGGTAAGTAAAATAATGATTTAAAAATCTGATTTAAGCTGTGGCAGTGTCCCTTTAATGATGTTTTGCACCACTGCAGAATTACATATTGCAGCTTTTTACTAGACACTGCCCATTGCAAACTTTCTGGAAAATATTTTCCATCATTTTGACATTTCATTTAAAATGAAATATAGAAGATATTAGAAATTCATGTTCATGACAGGTATTATTTGTTTGACTTTGAAATATACAGAGAGCACACATTAATGCACAGTGACTGAAGTGTTACAGGGGTGTGTGTCTGCATATTCATGGGACACTTCTTTACTCCACAAGAAAGCATTGCAGAATCAGAAGAGGAGTGACCTTTTCTAATACTAAAAATCTGTGTGTGCAACAATGAATAATTTAAAAAGGGGCCAGCTGGAATGACCTTCTTGCCAATATATATCCATGTGTGTATATAACCAAGAAATACAAAATGTTATTTTTCCCTGCAAAGGTGCACAACTCCAGAATTGTTTCTGAGTTGCTCCTGTTTACACATTCAGCACAGAAAGTCTTATCTGAACTGCTATGTTCCTATAGGTATATCTGTGTTTTAGTTATATATCCTAGATACATGTTTAGGGACTTGTACAAATGTGCCTGCTGTGGATGCTGTTTCAAAGAGGGAAAGCCAGGACCAGAACATTGTCATTGTATGTGATCTGCCAATCAGCTGAGGAGATGCCTCCTTTTCAGTCATCTCTTTTGGAGCTCTTCTTGGGGAATATGAAAGTATTATGTCTCAGGACTGGAAAATGGGCTACTGTAAGTATATTGAAGTGCAAACTGAGACCTAGTAAGGTGGAAGTTCATGTCAGTTCTGTTTTTCTTTTTAATTCTTTAAGAAAGTTTATTTGCTTAGGAGTCCTTTTAACATGAAGCACATTATATTTCTACTAGAGAGAAAACAGAGACACTGAATGGGTTTTTTATTAAAATGCACCTATGCACATGTATGATCAGAGCAGTGAATAAGTTGTACTGTGGTTGAAATGGTTATAAGTGCAACAGAGTATTGATTGGCAACTCCTGTTTGTTGTCCAGACGAGGATAAAATCCATTTGAATTGACAGTTGCCTTCCTTTAACTGTTATGTAAAGAACTACTCTTCACATTTTTTTTGGTGACCCAGTGAGCTGTTTTACAAACCCAACACATGCTGCAGGTGTGCTGAGGAAGGCATTTTAGTGTTTTTCTTTTTTCCGTATCAAACAGTTCCGAAATTATAAATTGTTACTGAGGATTTATACAACTTTTTCTGAGGTGGGGTTTGTCAACAGTTTGCATTGGAACTTTGGCTTAGCTGATTTCTGTATTTAATGTAGTCACAAACTTTACTATCTAATAGTAAAGCTTTCATATTTCTGATCTTGAGCTTGTATCTTCTTGGTGTCAAAGAATGTGGTATAGCATCTGTATTTTTGGTAAAATTGAGAGCTACTAAGTTCGAAGTTTTAGACAGCTGGAAGAATGAAGGGCTTTCCTCCTCTGATGAAGTGGTTTTTCTTCTCTTTCCCTCTGACTTATTGACAGGGAAATTCTAATTATAACTGATCAGTGCTAAAAAATTCATTTAAATTCTGTTTCCTCTTAACTACCTGCATTAGAACATTATTAGTTCCCAGAAGAGGTACAAGATGTTGTTTGGAATGGGAATTAACTCAACCTGGAGACACATCTCATTCTTTGGTCCTCAAGCTTCTATTTAATTGCAATGAATGTCATATTTTTAATGAGGCCCAGTTTTAATTCTGCTTTGTGTACATGTGGTTGCTTGTGCACTCATTGCAATTGCACATGAATATAAGAAAATTACCTGTTCTCTAAGTCAATTATTAACTGTTTATTGCAGTTAAGTGCAATCACTGAATTTACATGTGCGATTGTACAGTTAGGCAATACCCAAGTTTTGGTAATGTAGATAACTTCTGTTGGTGATGTGCATCATGGGAGATAGCATGTGCATCTACTGCAGAATAACTTGAGTATATTGTCAGAAGGTTGTAAAATCCTTCTCAAACAGTATTAGTAAGTAGATATTTTTTTAAGTAGATATTGGTAAGTAGATAATTTGCAACTAAAATGCATCTGATTAAATAAATAATCCCTTCTCAGTCTGAAGTATATAAAACTTTTGTGATTGTACTATTTTATTCAAAATCAAATAATTTTCCAACTTCCCTTTGATATTTTCCCTATAACTTTAGTTTTCAGTTACAGTTGTTGCAATAACTGAACAATTGAATGCCAGTGCTGGATTGTTTTCTCATGCAAAGTGGTCTCTGATCAAGAGCAGCTGATTATGTACTCTTCCCACATGCATCAGCATGTTGATTATGTGAAATCTCATGAAGAATTACAGTCAGTGCCAATCACTGTCTAACTGAAGGTCAAATTTTACATTCCTCTACTGATGTCATATTTTTTTCTATACTAATCTATAAACCATGTTAGGAATCCTTGGATACATGTTCTTAAAATATATTTAAGCTTTCAACTAGTGTTTTAGCATGCAAAACCAGGGCTCTGTTGTTGTTCAGCATGCTATTCCTATAATGTTTATTGATATTGGAAAAAAAGAAACACTAGGAGAGCCCCGGGGTATAGAGCATTTAAAGCTG